ATGATGGACAAACAGAGGAGATGGGACCACCCTCCTCTCTTCCCCCATCTCTCTCCCTGCCCCAAACCCCTAGGGCCCCACTTGGCAGCTTGGGGTCACCACCAGGTAGGTGCCAGCTCTCTCCAAACCATAAAATGGACACATCTCTGGAGGCCCCATCAGTGCTAGGTGTCCTGCTCAGAGGGTGAACGGCCCTCTCCTGCCCCAGGAACTAGCACAGGCGGCTCCCATCAGGGCTCCACTGAGCCGGGGCTAGGGTCTTCAGTGCAGACCGAGGGGTGTGGGCTCACCTCCTTCAGGAGCTTGGCACACCTCCCTGTGAGACAGGGCAGGGTGAGGTGCAGGCAGGAGGCTGGCGGGCCCCACCCAGGGGCTCAGCCCCCTCAGCCCCGAGGGACCTGGACTCACTGTGCCGTGACACCAGGTAAAGGCCCGTGTCTGCTGTCAGCTCCCGGAACCTCCAGAACCCAGGCTCATCCTCCCTGTCAAGGCTCCGAGCTGTGGGGCCAGGGGATCTGGGCAGTCAGTCCGGGGAGGGCGGGGCAGACCCCCCACCTGGGCAGAGCTTACTGAGGTACTTGAACACGTGGAACTCCTTGCCCTGCCATTGCAGGGACACTCTCAGGATGGCGTAGTGCTCGTAGTCTGTGTCCAGCACGTGGATCTCCCTGTGACCTGCAGGGCTCAGCAGGGTTGGGCAGCCTGAGGGGGTGACCTGGGAAGCCAGGCCTGCAGGGCCTAACTTCATCCTGTTCCTGACCAGCACTGGGACCCTCCCGCGATGCCCTGGGAAGCGGAAGCAGGCCCTGCAGGGTGACCCAGGGTGCTTAAGGGGAAGGAGGGCCTGCGCCCAAGGAGCCTGGGAACAGGCCCACGGAGCAGCAAGGCCAGGAGTTGCTGGGCGTGGGCAGGACGCTGCGACCCCCTGGCAGGGCAGGACACTTACCAGGGAAGGCAAACTTCCCCATGTCTCTTCCTGAGCCCACCACTTTCTCTGTCTCGCAGCTTCCCGAGCTGGAAGGCAGCATGCGCCCCTTAGCCCCAGCCGCCTGCGCAGCCTCCCCCCACCCCAGCGCTCCTCGCCCGCCCGCAGCGGGATGTGCTGCAGGAAGGGCTCCCCGGTCCTGAGCCCTCCAGCCGCGCCCACCTCTAAGCCCACTTTCTTTTCTTATCACCTGGTGGGGCTTCATCAAACCCCATACTTATATTTGGGGAAAATGCCGATCTGGGAGTCTGGGGGTCAGCTTTCTCTGGAGCTAGAGTCCCGGCAGGGGCACAGGGAGGGAGGGCAGGCACACTCTGTGAGGGTCCTGCAGCCACCAGCCACCAGCCACATGCCCCCCGCCGTCCCCTCAGCAGGGTGCCCTGGCCACGTCTGGGCAGGGTCCCAGCCTCTCACTTGTTATATGCAGCCTTCACGGTCATGTTCCGGCCACTCAAGGTGATGAACAAGCCCTCCACCTTCATCCCAGCATCCAGGGCCATGTTGAACTCCGAGGCCAAACCAACTTCCCGCCAGAACCCTGAAATCTGGAGAGAAGAGCTGCAGCGGCCCTGGCTCTCAGAGGCCCAGCTGAGACTCCATCCCTGGACTCCAGGGTGCATTTCAGAGGCCGCAGGCACAGAGCTGGTGGCCAGAGACTCAGAGGCAAAACAGCAAGATGTCTCAGACCTGCTTGTCCCCACTAGAGTCATCCTTCTCAGAGGTCCCTTCAGACCATCAGGCGGTGATGCCCCTCCCACCTGGCCTTCTGGAGCAGCCGCAGGGCCAGCTTGAGGTGCCCCAAGAGAGCTGGCCTCTGCTGCCTCCAGGCCTGGCGTGTGGGGAGATGAGCAGGCCCTGGCTGCCCGAAGGGACTGGAGAGCAGAGGAGCATGTAGGACACAGGCCCAAGTGGCTGGGCCTCTCACCAGGCGGGCCCAGCAGAAGAGACCCAGCCCTGCCGCCTCGCTGCAAGAGGGCCTTCCTGCCACCAACACGCACCCAGAGCCCGAGGTGCCATCTGAAACTCGGAAAACGGCTGATGTTACAGCAGTAAAGGACTTGTCTCCCTGACGTCTGTCCTTCTGAACATCCCCGMGTGTCTGGCCTGCAGGAGGAGGACCAGGACAGAAGCCCACAAGCTGCCCACCCAGGAGAGGGCCTCCTCTGGCCCCACCGCCACAGTGCAGAGGGCAGGGGTATAGAGGGAACCCTGTCAACTTGGGGGGCAGTCGGGGGCCACCTGGGACCCCAACCCTGAAAAACCTTGAGGACCAGCCAGCCTGGCTGAGGATGGCAGGCACCTGCTGTCACAGGGGGCCCTCCGGAGGCCCCTGGAGAGGAAAGGCTGCAGAGCTCAGAGCCCCCACCAGGGCCCTTAGCTGTCTGCCCTCCTGGGACACTGACCAGGGCAGGTCCTGGGGGCCCTCAGGTAGCTGTGCCAGCACCAACCAGGCATGAGGGGCCTGCGGTGGCTGAACACTCTCAGGCCCCTCTCTGCCCAGCTCCCCACTATCCCCCGCTGTCTGCCTGCAAGCCAGGAAGGAAAAGGCACCTTCTGCAGGTCTAGGTCCACCAAGGTGGACACCACCCGCATCCACACCAGGAGCATGCTCAGGGTGGTGCCTGGCCGCCTGGCTGCCATCGCAGGCTCCGTCTCAGTGCCTCTCTCATCACAGGGCCTGGGCTTATATTTGGAGAGTGGGCCAGAGTGAGCAGCCACCCGGAGGACGTCATGGGCAAGTGTGGCTGCCAGCTGCCCCAGACTCCTGGCGGTCAGCACAGTGCCATCTGGTCCCGCTGACGCCCACACCAGGGAGGGGTTGGCCAGCAGCCAGCCTTGCCTGCCACCTTCCTGCCAGGACGTTGGTGGGTGTGGGGGGCTCTGAGGGCCTGACAGGAGGAGCAGGCCCCACCCACACCCAGGGGGCTCAGCCCACCCACCCGTGGGGTCGCTGGGGTTTGTGGGTCTGGGGATAACAGAAGAAGCATGAAGCCTAGGCCCTGGCTCAGCCCAGCCTGTGGCCTTCTGCAGCCAGTGGGTGAAACGCGAGGGTCCAGCCAGCCCAGCCCCAGGCATCAGCTCTTCCCCACCATGCCCGCGCCCCACATCCCCACACCCACCAATAACATACCTGTGCCAGACCAGGATGAGCAGACAGAAATGCAGGGCACCACACCGTGCCCCTTTAACCTGGGCAGGGGCAATGGACTCTCAGGGGAGAGGACGGGTGCCTCTGGACACTGACCCCTGGTCCCTGCCTCCTGCAACAGGAACCAGAGAGCGGGTTAGCCTCCATTTCCCGCTGTCAGGGACAGCTTCCATGGCTGCCACGCAGAGCATTAACCGCACGAGAGGTGACACTCTCCTCCAGTGACGCCCTGCACCCCTGCACCCCCACCCTGGCCCTCTGCCTCCTCCTGACTGTGTCCCACAAACCACCATCTAAGTCCTTGCATTTACCAGGAAAGAGTCTCTCAGGCTAGAGATTTCTTTAAGGCAACTTTTATTTTCAAAACAACTTTATTTGTGACACATATTTATAAAGAAAATCCCCTCACCCTCTGGAAAGAAATTAAAAAATAACAAAAGCCTCCTTCTACCTTTTGGTTCCCACCTCTCCTGCTCCCTCCCAATGAAAGGGGAGGCAAGACCAAGGTGGCCAAGGAGCACCCTGGCCATGCAGCCCTTCCCCCAGTGAGCCTGGGGAGGTGACAGACTCCGGGGCCAGGGCTCCAGCTCCCAGAGCCCCTCTCAGCAGAGGGCAGAGGGGCCTGAAAAGCTCAGCTCAAGAGGAGTCCTGGCCACTGAGACACACTCAGCAGGGGACCTGGCTGCTGTGGATACTGGCAGGTGCAGGGGAACAAGTTAGGACAGGGTGAGCAGAGCTGGCTAGCTCACTGGAGCCCAAGAGGGACACCCAAAGAGCGGGGACTGCAGCGGGGAGGCTGAAGATGGCTGACCCAGCCACAGGCTGGCTAGCCAGGGCTCCCAGGGTGGCTGCAGAGGGGCTGGGCAGGGGTGCCCCATTCTCCCTGTGAGTGCTGCCTTAGCCAGGAAGAACAGGGAGGGCGGCCCAAGGTGGAGCCCCTGGCCCTCTGGGTGAGCAGGAGCAGGATCGGGCTGATTGCCCCGGGCTGATTGCTTCCGCTCCCGCTATTTGAGCGCCATTGGCAATGGTGAGCATCAGACCAGAACCTTCAGCTCCTTCCTGCTCCCCACGCTCAGGCCTTGAAGTGTGAGAGCTGGGGCCTCAGGAGAACTAGGCAGGGGTCGGCAAGGACAGTGGCAGTGATGGACCCTGGGAAGGGCATCCCTTGTGCCCCACCTCTCATCATAGGCAATGCAGAGGGCATGTCCTGCAGCTCCACCCCATGGATTTGAACCCTAACCTGGCCACTTGTCAGCTGTGTGACCTTGGATACCTTGCCCGGCCTCTCTGTGTGTGCCTGGATGTCTTGATCTGAGAAACAAGGATGGAATGGGGTGGGTACATGTGTCCAGGGGCCCTGTTATGGAGCAAGCAGGCCAGCTAGCCAGCTGAGATCCAGGAGTGTGCTGTTGTGCTGCTCATGGCACTGACCCATTTCTGGGGCTCTCAGAGGTTTAGGCCAAGTGCTCCCGATCATGACAGTGAGCAGTGAAACCCAAACAAGCCCAACTTCACGGTCTGCCGCCACGCCCACCCAGCTCCTGCTGCTGCCTGTGCACGCAGCACAGCCCATGGCCAGGGCCTGTGGTCACAGGGTGCCTGATCATCCCGTAGGCCCATGAACCTCAGGGCCGGGCAGAGGTGCCCCATTCTCCCTGTGAGTGCTGCCTTCCCACCTCCTCCCTGCCTTGGGCGGCCAGCAGAGCAGGGCTGGAGATGGGCCTCCTGTGCCCTCCCCAGGATTCTCCAAAGAGTGAGGAGCCAAGAGGCTGCAGGATCTGTTTATTGGGTGGGAAGAGGCCCTGGATCAGGGGAGGCAGGGAGGGAGGATGAGGGACAGCTCTGGGTGGCCCGAGGGCGGTGGGCTCACTGCGCGTCCACGCCTGGGGAGGTGAGGTTTGCTGCTGTGGCCTGGCCCTGTGAGGAAAGGCACAGCTGATCCTTCTCCCCCACACAAGGGGGCACTGCGCCCCAGGCCAGCACCCACAGGGCCAGGCACAGCTGATCCTGCCCCAAGCCTTCTGCCAACACAGAAGCCCACATCCCATCACCCCTCACTGTCCTGGAGGCCGCAGGCTAGAGGTCCCCCGGGCACCACCGCTGCCTCCCAGTGCCTGGGGCCTGGCCCTGGACGAAGGGGCCAAGGAGACAAGAAGGCCTGAGTCCCCACCCCATGTGTTCCCAAAGCCACCAGACAGTGACAGGCGACTCTGTGTTCAAGATGTCCAGCCCCAACGTCCCCAGCCCCAGGAGAGAAGCCACGAGCCCACCTGGAGCTCACCAGAGAAGAGTCAAGACACAGGAAATGGTGACAGCAGATGAGGACAAAATCAGGCTGTGGAGCTGGAAAACGCCCTCCGTGGACCCCCCACTCCAAGCCCCCCAGGTCCCTACCTGCTGCCCGAGGCTATCACATCCCATCCACTACTTATGGCTTTAGGTGGGTGCCCCATCCTTCAGGAGCTTGAGCAAGGTGTGGCCATTTTCTGGCACCTGGTCTGAGGAGGCCTCCCCAACACCCCTCCTGCATCAGAGCCCCAGGTTCCTGGGACCCAGCCCTGCAGTGGACAGGGAACGGAGGTGTCAGGTCTGCCCTCAGAGAGAGGACAGAGACTCAGGCCATCCCAGGGGGGGATACAGGGAGCCCAGGGACTGTGGTGGGTAAGCAGTGTCCCCCAAAACTCCACCGCCTCCTGGAACCTCCACAAGGGGCCTTATCTGGGAACAGGTCTTTGAAGATAGCATTAGTTAAGGATCTGGAGATCGTCCTGAAGATAGGGTGGGCCCTAAACCCAACAATATCCTCATAAGAAGGGGGCAGCCAGGTGCAGTGGCTCAAGCCTGTAATCCCAGCAGCTCAGGAGGCTGAGGCAAGAGGATCACAAATTCAAGGCCAGCCTCAGCAACTTAGCAAGGTCCTATGCAACTTAAAAATATCCTGTCTCAGGGCTGGGGATGTGGCTCAAGCGGTAGCGCGCTCGCCTGGCATGCGTGCGGCCCGGGTTCGATCCTCAGCACCACATACCAACAAAGATGTTGTGTCCGCCGAGAACTAAAAAATAAATATTAAAAATTCTCTCTCTCTCTCTCTCTCTCTCTCTCTCTCTCTCTCTCTCTCTCTCTCTTTCCTCTCTCTCTCAAATAAAAAGTAATATTTCAAAAAAAAATCCTGTCTCAAAATAAAAAGGGCTAGGGAGTGATTCAGGGATTAAGTGCCCCTGGATTCAAATCCCAGTGTTGGAGGGGGAAAAAAAAAAAGGAGGAGGAGAAGCAAGTGGAAGAGGAATAAGAGGAGGAAGAAGAAGGAAGAGGAGAAGGAAATCTCAGCCATCGATGCCCAGAATTACAGGAGCCACAGGAAGGGGCAGCAGGTGGGCAGGCTCCCCTCAAGCCTCCAGAGGGCCCACCCCACGGACACCTTGACTCTGGCCTCCAGGACTGGAGCTTGTCCTGTTTAAGCCGCCACGTGGGTGCTGTCTCGGCAGCCCCCGCAGTCAGGACAGGCTCCCTGAGGGGACCCTGAGGCCTGAGGCCCAGGACTCCCCAGGCAGAAGTGGGTGAGAGTAAGTGAGGACCAGGGGCAGCCCGTGGAGGGCCTGGAGAACTCACCCTGTCCCCTGCCTGGGCAGGGCTGGGATGGGACTCCGGGGTCGCCAAGGTGCTCCCCTGAGGTGGGGAGCAAGCATCTGCAGGAGCAAGCAGTCCAAGAGGTAGAGACAGGAAGGCTGCCCTCCCTCCACATCCTACCTGGCCCCCAGCCCCCCGACAGGGGGCCAGAAGACCCTCCCTACCTCTCCTTGTTCCTGTTGGGGGAGGAAGGGGCTATGGGGCAGGAGGGGCTGGAAGGGCTGCCACACAGCTTAGCAGAGAAGACCACCTGCTGCCCACCCCAGGGCTCAGGGCTGGGCACTGGGGTGAGACTTGGCCAGGTACCTGACTTGGGCAGCATGACCATCATGTCATCCTGGAGCCCCACTGTGGGGTAGAAGTCCTGGAAGGCCTTCAGAGCCTGGGGGCTGGCATCCTGAGCCCGACCTGGGGCACAGAGGGGTAGCTGTGAGCCCAGCAGCTCCCAGGGCCGTGGCAGGCGAGACCTGCCTCACTCCACTTCTTTGAGAGCGGACAGCAAGGCTGCCACCCTAGGTGGGCCGGGAGGCTGACCAGGGAAGGTGGGTCCTCACCCTGGAGAGGGGCACATGTTGTGTCTGCCCTCGGGGACCTCTCCAGCCAGCCCCCTCCCCATCCTAAGTGCTGTTGGTCCCCCGGCCCCCTGGTCCATGCCGGGTCCAGGCTGTGATTAGTGGGGGGCTGAAGCAGAAGGGGTGGGCCTGGGTCAGGGTGGGTGGGGCCGGCCCTGGGCTGGCCTAAAAGGGCAGATGGGAGGGGGCTCACTGTAGAGCTGCACCATGGTGCTGAGAGCCCCCTCCAGCTCCTTGTAGATGTAGACCACCGCAAAGGAGCCATAGTCCGTGTCCGCCACACGCACATCCAGGTAGCCCAAGGCTGTGGAGAAGGTGCACATGGCCTTAGAAGCAGGGCAGGGCTAGGCGACAACTCCCCCTGACCAGCCCACCCTGCTGCCCTAAGACCCAGCAGGTATCCTGGCCAAGCCCCACCCCAGCCATCCTGGAGGGGGCGGGGCAGGGGGCCTCAGTGCAAAGACAATCTGCGTCACCCCTGGGGAGCAATCCCAGTGCCCCCAGGACATACCTGGAACTCTGAAGTGGCCCTCGGAGCCCATCTTCAGGAACGAGGCATCCACCTGGGCACAGCCGTCAGCCCTGGGTGCATAGATGGTCACTACCTACCAGGCACTCTTGGGTCCTCCCTAGCCCAGCCCACCCCAGGCAGCTCACCGTGGGAATTCCATGTGGACATTGAGACAGCCCCCCTTGGTGGCATTGATGTCCCTGGTGGACATCAGCAGATGATCCTTCTTGCCCAAGAACACCTTGCAGTCAGACACCATGGAGACAACATACCAGAGGCCCGAGAACTGCAGGACAGCTCAGTGACCAGCAGGCCTGACAGCAGCAGCCGTACTGCCTTGCCCAGGGAGCAGGGAGACAAATGAAAAGCCAGAGAAGCAGGGACCTGCCTGAAGGTGGACAAGAGCTCTTGCTGCCCCCTTATGAGATGGGTCTGCAAAGGCCCTCAGCCCAGGGTTGTTTCTGGATTGGAGGGAAAGTAGGTCTGAAGCATGCCCTAGGCAGACCCACAGCTGGCCCCACCACGGCAGCTTCTATTCTCACTGGTGATGTTTCCAGGGGGATCAGCCCCCACCCCACCCAGGCACACCCAGAGGAGACCCAATACCTTTTTGGCATCGAAGTCAGGTTGAACCAGGACCTCGGCCAGAGTTGCGGACACCCAGAGCAGCAGAACCCAGCTCAGCAGGACCAGCCTCATCCTCAGGCCTGACCTCCAGCCCTGGCTCCCAGTCTCCAAGCCCCAGAAACCCTGGCTTTATACCCTAGCCCAGCCCTGGGCTCAGGAAGGGGCAGATGGGGAGTGAGCGGAAGGCTCTATGAAATGCCAGCCCCCTTTGTCCATTGTTGGACACAATCACTTGGCTGTCCCTTCGGCCCCAGGGTCACTTCCTGCAGGGCTCCAGACATCCAGGCTCTTGCCTGACGCACCAGCTGAGGATTTGTGCCCAAGCCTGCCAGGCACATCACTACCCCATGGCCCACCATAGCTGGCCACCCAGCCATGGCAGAGCTATCATGGCTTCCAGCCTCACACCCAAGCACCTCTGTCCACCCCCAGCCTGGCTGGGAGTTTGGGGGGCTGCTGGGAAGCATGAGGCCTGGGTCTGCTGGGGCCAGCAGGCCCCCATCCAGGGTTCCGGGCACCCAGCAGACCTTTCTCCCTCTCATCCCCAACTCAGTGCTTAGTCACCACTGGCCAGGCCTCTAGAGACCTCATCCAGGGGTAGCCTTTGCCAGCACAGTGGTGAGAGACATCTGGGCGCCCCCTTGCACCCCACAGCTGGGCTTCCTGAAAGCATGCCTGAGATAGGAGGAGGGATTAGGGTGGATTACGTATCCACAGCTGCCTTATCACCAGTTTCATAAGTGTCCAGGTGGAAGGACGCCTGGGAGGCGCCAGGGCTGGTGGAGGTGGAGCTGAGGAAGGCCTCTCCAGCTGACCTCTGTGTCGACACAGAGCACCAGGGACCCCGGGCCAGGAGCAGCACATGGCCTTGGTACACCCCACTTGGACAGCTGTTGTACACTCCATGGAGTCACCCAGGGCAGGCACTGAGAGCTGCTGTCCTGCCCACCATGGAATCACTCAGGGCAGGCTGACCCTGAGACAACTTCCAGAGCCCATGTGGGAGGGAGCTATGGCCCCTGGAGCATATAGACTGAGAGGGACCTGGCATAGGGGACCTTCCACACCCAGCCCCCCCCAGGCCCAGCATAGCCACATTCCCAAAGGCCCCCTCCTGGGCCAAGTCTGAGGGTTTGATTGTGAAAGGCAAGGAGGGGGCACCCATATAGGGGTCCAGGGAAGTCCAGGCGCTCAGCCATGGACAGCCTCCACTGACCAGCTGTCCCAGAGGAGAGAACCTGAGGAAAAGGGCAGAGAGGAGGGTGGAGGACAGGTGAGGACGGGCTCCACAGAGAGGAGGGGAGATGAATGCAGGGGCAGAAGGAGCAGTGCTGTGCCCAGGAGCCCAGAAGCCCTGCTCCCAGCTGCCTGGGAATGGCAGGGCCGGACACACCAAGGTGGAGCCCCAGGCTAACCTACAGCCAGAGGGGTGGGCCCCTTCAGGCATCCCTAAAGGGATCCACCTCAGAACCCATGAGATCCCTCACCCCCAAATCCCTCTCCCCATTCCACCTCTTCTGAAGAAGTCTGGGAGGGCTTCTCCTGACTTTACCTGTAAGAGGGGAAGTGGCAGTAGCCACCCTCGCCACCCACCCTCCCTCACCGTGGGCCTGCTGGGGTGGGCCTCACCCTGCAGAGAGGCCAGCCCCTCCCACGCAGTGTCCCATGTCTGCTTCCACTTTTTGGCTGGACACAGGGTTCACTTGACCAAGGCATGTCAGGGAGGCCTTGGGGTCAGGCAGGGATGGGGCCCAGAACCAACCCCTCGTGCTTTAGGGTGCCCAGTTAGGGAGATGGGGCTGCAGGAAAATGGAGAGACCGGGGCTCTGTTCCACCCAGTTCTGGGCCCAGCGATATAACCTGCCTTCAAGGAGCCAGTATGTAAGAACTGCCCCTTCCTACAGGAGAGCCAGGAGCCAAGCCCCCACCGGCAGCCAGAGGTGAGCTGGTGATCAAGGCCATCCTAGAAGGTAGTTGGTGGGGCAGCTCAAGGTGGAGAGGGAGCCTTGAGCCCAGACAAGGGAGGGAAAGCCCTGGAGCCCCCTCTGATCTGGGTTGGGTTCCTAAGATGCGGCCCTGGGAAGCCTGCAGCTTCCTGGCCAACCATGCCCAGTCCTCAGAGCGATGGAGGACTCAGCCCAGAAAGGGAAGGGCAGGGGCTCTGGCTCTGGTGGCCAGGCTGCCATCCTATCTCTCTAGTGGGAAAGGTCCCAAGGAGGGTGCAGCCTCACTGGGTGAGGAGTCTCCCTGACCTGAGACTCCCACAAAGCCTTGAGCTTGGTTATCCTGCATTTGTGGGCTGTGGGGAGCCCTGTACAGGTGAACCCACAAAAAGAACCAGAGCCCAAGGAGACCCTGAAGGGGGAACTCACCCCCACCTGCCAGCCCAATCTAGGGACTCTGAGCTGTCCTGGGGAGGCCCAAAGCCCTCCTGATCAGCACCTTGACGTGTCCTGACTCTGATAGGAGCTGTCAGGTTGTCCTGGGGTCTGCAGCAGAGGGGCTGGCATCAGCCATGCCAGGGCGACTGCGGGGTGTCAGGGAGGGTAAGCATCTGTGGAAGGGGTGCTGAAGAGGAGAAAAACACCCATGTCTCCTCCAGTGGGAGAAGCTGGGGTCACACTCTGCCAGAGATGGGAAAGGCCTCCAGCCCCCACCTCCTGGCCCCACCTGATGACCAGCTGGGGGGTGGGGCCAGGTCCACATGGACCACTCCCTGGACTAGACTTCAAGGTACCTGGCCGCCCTACTTGACTCCTGTCCCTGGAGCATACCCCGGCTGCCTGCCCTGCAGCACCAGGGCTCCCTTGGCTGCAAGGAAGTGGTGGCTCAGTCTGCCTCCCATGGCCGCTGACCATAGTCTGCAACGTGGATTGGCTGTGAGTAGGGAGCCCAGACATGTGGGTCCCCAGAGGTCCACTCACGGCAGTAGCCCTCAGGATGGCCAAAGGTGGGAAAACTGAGATGGTGGTCTGGCCAGCACCTCCCCACAGAAGAACCCTGAGTGTCACACTCCTCACAACTGAAACCCTCAGGGTCACTCCAGGGAAACTGGGCTGCACCAAATACTACACAAGAGACAGAGACACCTGTTTTCTTGGGTGTCCTGTGACGGTTCCTCTGACCTTAAGGGTCTGCAGAAGGAGAGAGAGAAAGAGAGACCAAGAGAGAGGAGCGCACACTGAGTCTTTTTATTGGGGAGAAGCCATTCAAATGAGGCAAGGGGTCAGGTGTCAGGGGGCTCAGTCTAGCTCTGGGATGTCTGCTGTCAGCAGGTTGACTGACAAGTAGGAGGCCACGCCCAAAGGCAGAGCAAGAGAAGGGGACACACAAAGGGTGTTTCCATGGAACATTCCATCCCAAACAGGACAAAGGGGTAGTATCAGAAAGAAACAGGTGAGCGTAGCTCAATCCATGAGGTGACACGCCTACGTCTGAAGACCCGTCCTCAACCTGCAGGACGGGGGCAATGTCCAGGTCACTACAAGATGTAGTGATGGTCAGAGCCTCTCCACTCCAGGACGGAGAATGAGAATCATTCAGGCTGGCTGCCCACACCTGAGCATTCCTGGAGCAGAACCTTGACCTCTGTCTGGGGAGGGGGCGGGTGGTAGAACCCTTGGGGTCATGACCTATGCATCAAAACCTCGTCACCCTGGGGTCACTGGAGCCTGTGGAGCGTCTGTGCACTCCCCTGCACCACCGGCCTCCTCCTCTCCCCAGCCCCTTCTAGTTAGGGAGAAAGGAGCAGGGCCTGGACTTCTGCCCTTGAGTCCTTGCTCCCAGGGCCCCAGACTCATGCCCACAAGCTGTCCTGCCACCCCACAGGTTTTCCAACGAGGAGTGAAGGCTCTGTAGATTTCTTCCAGAACTGGGAATCCTACAAAGAGGCTTTGGCAACCAGGCACCAAGTTCTGGGGGTGCTCATGACAGGGGGTAAGACAGTGGCCCTGGGCCAGAACCAGGCTTCCCCCCAGATGGGGCCACCCACCAGGCCCTTCCTGCACCAGGCCTGGGCCTCGGCACTTCCCTTCCCTCTGTCCACCCATGCTGCCAGGCACTAAGAGCTCCAAATCGACCTGTGGGATTTCCAGATGGAGCCTCCAAAGCCGAGTATAGCTGATTCCAGTGTCCAGAGAACTGAAGTCCAAGCTGATCTGTGGACGGATCCCAGAGAAAACTGGAGGACACCCACCCCAGCTGGCCCTGGAGAGCTGACAGTTATGGGTCTTTCCAGGAGACTCCCTGTTGAGTCACAAGGACATTCCCTTCACAAGCCCCAACCAGGACAAGGACACGAACAGTCTGAAGAATTGTGTCTCTGTGTCCAAGGGGGCCTGATGGTACCACAGTGGCCACCATGCAACCTGAACAGGTGCAGCCTGCCTGGCTGCCCAGGGAGCTTTATACTAAGGGCACTGACTGGTTGACTGGCCCAGGACATGGTTGCTCCTACCAGGCTGCTGAGAGGAAGATCTGGGCAGCCTAGGCTATAGGAGAATGGGTGGCTGGCCAGCACTACCACCCCTGCAGCCATGCCCAGCCAGGGGGCGGTGACGAAAGGGGTCACATCACACATGGAGGGGGAACACACTGAGGGAAGAAGAAGCCCCGTGCTCCGCTGGCATGCTGTCTGTGCTGTACCCCCTCCCGTCCCTTCACTCCCTCCTGAGCACTGTCCAGCACATGACCGAGTATGCAGGGACCACTCCATCCATGACCTTAACAAGGGTCAGACAACCAAAGCATGGGACCTGAGAACACCCCCAGAGGCCCTGCCAGGGCTTGGGCCAAGGAGGCATGTGGCAGGCAGAGGGGAGGCCCCAGGCACCCCTGCTGGCCTCAAAGCCTAGGCCCAGAGAGCCACCAAGACTACCTGACCTCTGGGCCACTTCCCAGAGCACCAGGAGGAGAGAGGGAGCAGGCAGCTGGAGCTTCTAGGACCCACTTCCAGAAGCAGACCCATGGCTGGGGGTGGGCCAAGACCAGCCCTCACTACAGCCCTGCACACACCCTGGCCAAGAGGCACAGCAAGGTCTCCGGGGTAGAGCTCCCCTCCAGCAGCCTCTTTACCACGGCAGCTCTTCCACCACCCTGGTCCCTGAGGCCGCAGAGCAGAGGGGCCACCACTGGCCTCAGAATGCCAAGGGGACAGGCAGGCAGATGGGAACCCTGCAAGGATGAGGGGCCAGACAGTGGCCCTGCTGACAGGCAGCAGAGCAGATGGCCACGGCAGGCATCAGGGCCTCACCCAGAAGGAGAACAGAGGCCTTGGGCAGACCCTCCCCCATTACATCTGGGGAAACCCAGGCTCAGGGGTCTGAGGCTTGGGGAGATCCATACCTCCCTCACTCTCAGGAGACCAGCCCACCCAGAAGCTTTCCCAGCCCCAGAAAGGTGCATGGGGCAGGGACTGAAGTGCAGCCCTGAGCTCTGGGGCAGGAGGTTACAGCCCCTTGGCCTAGGCCAGTAACTGGGAGCAGCTTAGTACATTGGAAGTCACTTCTCTTCTGGCTGGGGACCCACATCTGCCCTGGAGCTGTGTGGTTCTCAGCAGCGGGAGCTAGGGAGTGAGAGAAGACTGCAGACCTGGGGTGTGTAAGTGGCACTGAGGCCAGAAAGAGATAGAGGGAGTCTAGGTGGACTTTGGATGTGGTCCATGCTCTTCTAGGACAATGGGGCATTGCCCAGTCCCCACCCCCAAGCCCTGGGAAGGAGCAGGTGCAAGAACCAGGGGCCATATTGCTGTGCACCCTGCAGCTCCTGTGCCCCAAGGTCTGAGCCCTCGCCAGCACTGCTGGGTTTGCAGGTGTGTTTCACGTTTAGGATCAACTGCATTGCTCTTGGTGTCACATGGAACATGCATCACTTTCACTAAGAAGCAACCATCAGTCTTTTAAATTTATCATTATTTTTATTAWTATTTGGTACTGGGGATTGAACCCAGGGGTACTCTAACCCTGAGCTACATCCCCAGCCCTTTTAATTATTTGAGAGAGGGTCTTGCTAAGTTGCTGAGGTTCTCACTAAATTGCTGAGGCTGGCCCTGAACCTGTGACCTCCTGCCTCAGGCTCCCAGGTCACTGGGATTACAAGTGTGGGCTACCTCGCTGGGCTCAAAAGAAAGCATCTTTAACTACAAGGAATTTTTTTTAATATATATATTTTTAGTTGTAGGGCTGCACATATGACTCAGTTGGTAGATTGCTTGCCTTGCATGCACAAAGCCATGGGTTCAATCCCCAGCACCACACACAAAATACATATATGTATATTTTTTTTAGTTGTAGATGGACACGATAGCTTTATTTAATTTATTTGTTTTTATGCAGTGCTGAGGATCAAACCTAGGGCTTCACAAATGTGAGGCAAGCACTCTATCACTAAGCCACAACCCCAGCCTTACAAGAAATTTTAAAAGGGAGAAATAAGTCTATCAAAGTGAGGCACTAAGCTCAGATTCCCACCTCCAATCCTTAGAAATAACTAGGTCCTGCAAGAAATCAAACACGTGCTCAAAAGTGGCCAAGGCAATGAAAACCTTTACTTCTGCCAGAAAGGGGTGCTCCTGGGACCTGGCTAGCAAGCCCACTTGCACCAGTCTGCGGATTTAAATCCCTAACGCAGCTCTACCTTTCGCCCTGATTGGAGAACTCAGGGGTACAATCTACATGATTGGCTAATTTTTAAATTGGGGTGGGAAGGACTCCAATTAAAATGGCTACAATTTGATCCAAATAAGGCTGAATACTATATTTTGAAAATGGAGCACCAGACCTTCTATTTCTCATAAATCAAAGCTATTGGTTTTTGTTTTGTTTTGTTTTGAACCCAGGGGCTGTGTACCACTGAGCTACATCCTGAGTCCCTTTTATTTTATTTTTTATTTTTTTATTGAGAAAGGGACCTGCTGTCTGGTAGATCATTTTCTCTGGTGTGTTCTGGGAAGCTCTGGGAAGGGTAGCATCACTCTAGTGGGCTATTCAATTCCCATCCTAGATGCGCCAGCTACATGCGTTCCCTGCAGGCTTGAGCCCGAGTTTGCCCCTGAATGTTCCGGGCACTGATAAGCTGCTTAGGTTATCGCCCCAAGCCCTGAAAGATCAAACATGCTGCTAAGCCATAGAAACTAGTCCCAATCCTGAGGCACATTCCTTAAACCCTCATATACAGAGCAGATGGGCACAAAGGGAAGATTGTATGAGGACTGAGGAGAAGGCACCATCTACAAGCCAAGGAGAGGGGCCTCAGAAGACCAGAACTGAAAGCAACACATCTCTGTGGCTGTGCCATGGATGCCAAGCAGGATCTGTGCCCAGGTTTTCTGTGGCCTTCAGCATGTGTGCTCCTCCCACCCCATCCTACCCAGGGCCCAGTTCTTCTATGGCTGCTTCTAAACCTTCCTTCTCCTTCTGCAGAGCCCTGAGGACACATCCACTCCCCAAGCCAACCCTCTTGCTTTTGGCATCTCCACTTCCCACTGTTTGGACTTTAGCAACCGGCTCATGCTCCCTCCAACCCTCAGGACCAACAGTGGCTGGTGCATGCCTACCTTCTCAGCCCGTAGGTCATACCTCTCCTCTGCTCAGGTCCAGCCTCCTGCCCTGGCCACCTCACCTCACCTCACCTCACCTGCTGGCTTTCAAATCACTGCTTTTCTGTCCTCACTCCAGCAACATGCTACCCTATGGGGTGCCTCCAAGCTCCTGACCCTTGACTATATGCCCCCTTGTCTTCCCTTCTCCCTTTAGCTTGTTGGAAGGCACCAGAACAAACTTACTAAGCTTCAAACCCAGGCATACTCACCTAGCAAATTCTAGCCAGCTCCACCCAAACCCATCCAGTCCACACTGTCTGAGCCCAACAGGAGAAAACCACCTGGCTGCACCACCCAACTGGACTTCACAGCAAGCCAGACCAACCTGTCACCGAARAAGAGAGATCCCCAGGGTAGGATCCCAAAGAGTTCTTGGGAGAAAGGGGGCACTCATCTCAGGGTCAGCTGAGACCTTGGCAGACACGATAGAGAAGAACTGCAGCACATCAGTAGAGGACAGTCTTCCTGAGGAAAGCACGAGCTCACACTCAGGGAGGACGTGGCCATCTCCAGTGAGACGTGATCTGGAGGTTCCTTGTTCTTCTTCAGAGGAAACTTGGTGAGAGGTGGGTATGGAAGGTGTGTGGAGATGATCTCAGTCTTGTCCCCTACAGATTTCTTAAAATGTCATAGCTCTCTTTACTTAAATCTATTTATTGGTGGGCTAATTAACAGTATACACAGTAAATTTTATAAGTGGGTAAGTTCACAGTAACTTTTCCAGAAATTTTGGGGGTGAAGGTCTGGGAGAGACACTGGCTTGGAGAGGGGCAGGTCTGGAAGTCTAGGAACTTGAGTCTGCAATTGCATTTCCCTATCCCTCCTTCTACATCTCTTCTACCTGTTTTAAACTTTTCTCCTGTCCTTCCTCCAGCGTATTTGCCCTGAAACTCATCATCCACCCTCCTCCGCTCCATTTCCTGTCCCCGCATTCTGCATCCCCTCCAGCCTCCCGGACAAGGCCTGTGGGTCCTCCCTCTTCTCACACTATCTATTGCTCCCCCACTGCTGGGTCACACTTTTGGGGACTCTGAGAGCCTCCTGAGGGGTGCCCGAAGCCTGGGCCTTCCAACGCTCCTGGGTCGGAGGCCAGTAAGGGTCAGCCAGACTCTGAGGGCAGGGGCTCCAAGTCCCCCGTGGGACCCCAGGTTCAGAACAGAATTGGCACCAAGAATGGGCTTAAGCAGTACTGTAGAAAGTACTGTGCTAAATAATTATTCCAAATTATAATTTGGAATTATAATTACATAATTATATGATTATAATTCCAAATCATACTCGTGGTTGCTTTTAAGAACTCCAACCCTTGAGTGGAGCTCTGAAGCACGTCCCCAGCTTGATAAACAGAAACCACGACCTTCACTCCCGCCCGCGAGGCAAGTGGCTGCGCCTGCGCAGGCGGCGTTTTGGGGCCCCTCCCGCCCCTGTTCCCGCCCCTGTTCCCGCCCCTGTTCCCGCCCCTGTTCCCGCCCCTGTTCCCGCCCCTGTTCCCGCCCCTGTTCCCGCCCCTGTTCCCGCCCCTGTTCCCGCCCCTGTTCCCGCCCCTGTTCCCGCCCCTGTTCCCGCCCCTGTTCCCGCCCCTGTTCCCGCCCCTGTTCCCGCCCCTGTTCCCGCCCCCATCCCCGCCTCTCTTCGCCGTCTTCTGCAGGCGGGCGCTTCCTACCAGGCCACCATGGTGACCCTTGGCCTGTCCCGCGTCGACGACGCCGTGGCCGCCAAACACCCGGTGAGAAGACCGGCCTCAGCAGCTGACCTAAGCCGGACGGGGGGCTGGCTGGGAGCCCCGGCAGGAAGGAGGGGCGAAGGGGCACGCTCCTGCCTGGGCCTGGGGCGTCCCTGGTGGGCTTAAGGGGAGGTGGGACGTGTTCAGTCCCCAGCGTCTTACCCCTCCACGACCAGGGCCTGCCCAGAGGAGGGACTGGAGGGACGGTGAGAGAAGAGGGAGGGAGGACTGAGCCTCGAACTCCCTTCCGTCTCCCAGGGACTCGGGGAATATGCTGCGTGCCAGTCAAACGCCTTCATGAAGGGCGTGTTCACCTTTGTCACAGGTAGGCTGGGTCCAGGTGTCCTGTGGTGTCAAAAAAAACCGCACTCTCTTGTCCCACCCTGACTCTCCAGCAGGTGGCGCCAAGCCGCCTGCCAACAGGTGCACTCGGGGCACCCAGGTGGTCCCCAGCCAGCCCAGCCTACTGGCTGATTGGTGGACCCTGGCTCTTGGCAGGAACCGGCATGACCTTCGGCCTGCAGATGTTCATTCAGAGAAAGTTCCCGTACCCGATGCAGTGGAGCGTGCTGATGGCTGTGGGTGGGTATCCCAGAGTATGTACCTGAAATGCCCCTGAATAGCACAGGTCACTATGTCTTAAGCAAGGATAGGTTTCTGCTGAGAATATGGTTCCAGCACCCCTGCCTCTGGCTGGGCCTCCAGTTTGCATAGAAGCCCTGTCCAAATTCACCCACCATGTCTGTCCAAACATACCCCGTGCTCACCTTCCCTTCTGAAAATGCAAAGGCTAAGGCCCCGCAGCCCACCACCCTCCTGCTTCCTGCTCCCCAGTTGCAGGCTCTGTGGCAAGCTATGGGGTGACAAGAGTGGAGTCTCAGAAATGCAGCAACCTCTGGCTCTTCCTGGAGACAGGACAACTTCCCAGAGACGGAGGCACAGGTGAGAGGGCCTGGGGGGCAGCAAGAAGCAGCTGAAGTTCTAGGACCCCAGAGTTTTAGGGAGGCAAGACCAGGGGCCCATGTGATAGGTTGGGAAGGGGTTTCCCTTCAGTCCCTGCTTCCTTGGCCTGCCATTCTCGAGGGGCTGGTCCTGGATTGGGTACAGCAGAGTTGAGTGCTACATTCACAGGAGGAAGTCAGAGAATTGTGTGGCCTTGAGACAGAAGGGTGCAGAGTGAGGCGTGTGGGCAGGTCCCGGCGGCTGTGTGGGTACCCAAGAAGAGCAGCTAGACTGGGAGACCCTGATCCCATATCAAGCTGATGAACCCCAGGCTTGCCATCCTGGTTACAGGACTCAGTTTTTGCTATGGTGAAATGGGACAAGGGTCCTGAGTGACCGTGCATGTGGTTCCAGTCATCTCCCTTTGCCTCTTACAGATCCACACAGCTAAGAGAGCATCACCCAGTTCACAACTGTACCTCCAGCCCCAACCTGGCCCTCCCTGCCTCACACAGGCTTCCCCACCTAGGTGTATCCTGTGTCCTCTGCACACATGCCTGTCCAAGCCTGACAGACCTGTGCATTCTGCTGTTGCTGCCCCCAAACCAGGACCTGCCCAAGTGGTCATCTGTTCAGACGGGCTCTGGGGATGGGCATTCTCCTGTGGGGCAGCAAGAAACAGGGTAAACACTGTGAGCCAGAAATGGTTGTGCCCTGTTGCACACACACAAGTGGAGAAGGTAGCCTGCATGGTGGAAGGGACTTGTGCATCCTGGGTACTTTGGTGTCCCCTTTCCAACCCCTACACCCACAACAAGTCTGGGGAGACCACTGGTGCTGGCTGTGTGAGGCTAATAAATGGCTTGTCCTTTTCCCCTCCAGAGCTCTAAAGCCACTGAGAATAAAGGGGGCAAGGAAATGAGAACAGCCAGGCACGGTGGTCTACGCCTGTAATCCCAGCTACTTGGGAGACTCAGGCAGGAGGATGGCAAGTTCAAGGCCAACCTCAGCAACTTTGTGAGGTTCTGTTTTAAAAAACAAAAAAGGGCAAGAGGTATAGTTCAGTGGTAGAGCAAAGATGAGATCACTTGAGAAACTGAAGCAGAATCCACAAGTTCAAGGCCTATCTGGGCAACTTAGTGAGACTCTGTCAAAAGAAAAAAAAAAAGTCTCAGTGGGTAAGCACCCCTGGGTTCAATTCCTAGTACTACCAAAGGGGAAAAAAACACAGATCAGGTGTCATCTTTCTTTTAAAAAATTTTTTTAGATGTTGATGAACCTTTATTTTATTCATTTATTTATATGTGGTGCTGAGAATCTAACCCAGTGCCCTAGGCCACTGAGCCACCACCCCAGCCCAAGATCAGATGTCATCTTTATGACAATACAGCTACTGCCGAGGATGTGGGAAGGAAGTTCCTAATGCAGAACCCCAGAATTCGGATTCCTCCTGGCTCTGGGGCTTCTTTATGTGGGGTCCCTGTCATTCCAAACTCACCCATTGGTGAGGCCTCCTCTCCATGGAAAAGGAAAGCTGAAGGCCAGATGGCCTTCATCACAGTCCACAAAGACAGAGGCAGAGATGGTCCAGACTTGCACTCCCCGTACTAGAAGGCCCACTGCTGGGTCAGCCAGCTCTGCCCTGGCATCTTGGAGCCACTCATTCAGAATGTCTGTTGAGGATGTCTCAGAAGGAAGGCAGAATGGCCGCAGGCCCAAGATAACAATGGCTTAGGCAAACTAGAACTAGAACTTTATTTTCTTTCCTGTAAAAGTCCAGGTGGGTGCCTTAATCTGTTTCCTGTTGCCCATAATATACCATACATATAAAGAAAAGGGATTTATTTTGGCCCAAGTCTGGTCAAAGCTTGAGAGGCTATATCTGGTGATGGTCATTTTGCTGACAAGGTCCAGAGGAGGCCCAGCGCATCCCTGGTAAGCAACAGCATATGGGTCTCCTGTTCTTTCTCTCTTCCTGCAAGGCCACCAGACTTCTATCAGGAGGACTCCACCCTACTGATCTTATCTAATCTTTAACCCCTTCCCAGAGACTCCCACCTCTGAACACCACAGTCCAAGTTTCTAGCTTTTTAATACCTAACAAGGAGTATTAAACTCTGGCATGAGTTTTGGAGGACAAACTGCTCAGACCACAGTAGTGGGCCAGGGTGGTTAGTCAAGAACAAGGCTCCTTTCAGCCTGCTCCCTCCATGACCACTCATCATGGTGCCAGGTGGTCACACGGGCTCCAGCATTGTCTCTTTATCACATTATGCAGGGGGAAGAAAGGGGACAAGGAAAGCAGGTCACCTACCATTTCTGCTTACACACCACTGGCCAGAATTGAGCATCTATGGTAGGGACACTCAGGAAGGCAGTCTTGCTCTGGCCAGGCACATGTCCCACTGAAGTTCAGGAAGTCAGTATCCAAGGGAGAATGGAGAGCTAGCAAGCTTGTTTCCGCCAGATACCAAGTTGTGTATGTTGTGGTCTGATTGTGTCCTCTAGTACTTTGGGATGTGACTAAGACAGAGTCTTTAACAAGGTACATAAAGGTTAAATGAGGTCATGGGGAGCCTAATCCAATGTGATGGGTGTGTGCTCTTACAGGAGGAGATCAGGACACAAACATGCACAGAGAGACAACTCCCTGAGGGCCCAGGGAAAAGACAGTATCTGTAAGCCAAGGAATCAGGCCTCAGGGAAACCAGCCTTTGGCACCTGGATCCTAGACTTCAGCCTCCGGGACTGAGAATAAACTTGTGTAAGCCACTAGTCTGTGGTGCTTTGTTATAAAAGACCCATGCCAACAAGGCTGGCGAAGAGGTACCTATATCTCGTGTGGCCCCCAGCATCCCAGGCTGTTCATTTCTCCATGCACACTACTCTAGGGGAAAGGGAGGAGTCAGGGGCAGGGAGCTGGCCCTCCTAGAGAAAGTAACTTCTGAACAAAGGCCCAGGGGTTCTGAGGGAGGTGGGGGCCGACTGGCTGGGCTCCAGGGAGCACAGCAAAGATCAGGAGAAGGTGGAAGAAATGGGGAAGTGAGTGGTAAGCCAGGTCACCCAGAGTATGGACTTTGAAGTTGGAACATGGGTGGGGGGATAGAGTTCCTGCAAGGTAAAGACATCAGAATAGGTTTGGGAAACACAGTCCAGAGACTATAGAAGCAGCCTAGGGGCATGGGAGGGAACATGGAAGGTGCAGAGGTGCAGGCAAAGGGTGCTATGCCAGACAGTTACAAATTATCCACCATCACCACCAAGGAAACAGGTTCCTGGACACAGCAGAGCTCCTAAGCAGTGAGCAGCCACAAGACTCTTCCATTAGGGCAATTGTCCACAGGTGATTCTGAGGCTGGCTGAAGGAGGGGATTCCATATTCTCTGAGCATTGAGAACCCTGACCCCCCTCACAATGGGCTGAAATTCCAGGGACAATCTGAGCATTGGCTCTGTTGAATAGACAACACACAGGGAGAGTGGGCAGCGCACAGGGATCCCAAAGGACCCTGAGAGCCATCATGAAAGTGCATGAGGCAGATGTGGAGAGTCAGGAGCTAAGGACCATCACTCGGCTCCAAGGTGAGCCCTGCGCTGGCTGAAACTTGGCCTGCAGGGACCAAGGGTTCTTGGTTCCTAGTTCTTGGACCAGTACCTTCAGTTTTAACACCAGGACATGGAGGAGCAATTGGTCATCCAATTATACCCCCACCGCCATCCCCAAGGCCCAGGCTGGGAGAAGGGAATCTAAGGGGTCTGCCATGGGAGGGGGCTGTATGAAGGAGGGAACCTAAAGGAGATTTGTGAGCTTAAGAGCACCCGGAACCAAAGAGACAGGAAGAGCCTGCCTCTTCTGTGGGTAGCATATTTGGAAGAGAGTAAGGATGCCCCATTCCTGGTTTGAGCCTCTCCAACACTTTTTCACTGACAGGCCTGCAGATCACCCCTGCAGAGGAGTGGAGCCCGTTCCTCCCAGAGAAGAGTGGGAGGAGGGAGCATGGCTGGGGAAGCAGTGTTCTCCCATACCCTTCTCTTGCCTCGCCGCCCACACCCTGGCCACCTTGTCCCCTCCTTCACCACAGAGCAATGTCGGGCGCTCCAAATCCAGGGGGTGAAGGACAAGATCGCACAGAACAAAGCAACCCAGGCCCTTCTGCGCAGCAACATCCGTCGTGGGGCCCAGGACTGGGCTTTGGCCAAGAAGGTGCCCAAGCCCTGCCCCCTCCTCGCAGGTGGGGGATGGGGGCGGGCTCGAGCTGAAGAAACACACACCCCCTCTTCTCATCCCCCACCCTTTCCTCTCTTGAGGCAGGGGGCTGTGGAGAGAGATTCACTATGACCCTTGCCCAGGGCAGGTTCCCCACCACCCACTCAGAGGGCTCGGCATCTGAAACGCACGGCTCAGTCCCGCTGCAGGGGCCTCTGGCGTCCCTCTCCAAACCCCCCCCCCCCCCGCCCCTGGCGCCCAAGCCAGACCCTCCTGCGTGGCCAGTCGGGTGGCGCGGTGCTCTCCTCCGGCGGCCCCAGGAGCAGAGGTCTTGGTGCTGGGCTAGCATTTGGTAAAAGAGGCCTCAGGGAGATGCCTGCAGGGGCCGGCGGCTGGAGGACGCCTGGGGCTTTATGCCTGGCTCAGCCGCCGCCCCTCCGCAGAATGACCAGTGGACCATCTCCACAGCTTGTGGGAAGGACGTGCACACGAGGATGGCGCAAGGCCGCAGCACCGTGGAGGTACTGAGGCTGACAAGCCAGGGGTGGACCCCTCGCCCTGCCCCATGACCCACTCCTAACTATACAGGGCTCCGGAACCTGCGGAGAGAAGAGCAAGTTCCCATCCCAGGGCTCCTGTAGGGCAGCCACCCGTCCCTCCTGGGTGCCCCGCGGCGCCCCGTCGCGCGCGCGCGCACGCACGCAAGCACGGTCGCCCTCCCCGACCCAGGTGGCACGGGCGAATCTGCGCAAGTACGTCTTCGATCGTGTGAACGCGCACAACATGCTGATCCATCTGGTGCGGCGGCGCGAGGAGAGGCTGGAAAGCATGCAACTGGAGTTGGCCAGCCTGCGGAACAAGTCAGAAGCCTCCAAGGAGGAGAAGTGGATGCTGCAGGTGCCTCGGGCGCGGAGCTCTGCGAGCTCGCCTGGCCCGAGCCTCCGAATGGACGGGGCTACGGGGGCGGGGCTCTGTTGGCTGGCGGACCCTGCAGTGTAGGGCTCCTTGGTCTGGAGGGGACTCAGAGGCAGGGCAGGTCCTCTAGAGGAGCGGAGCTCCAATGGAGAAGGCGCAGCCATGCGGGAGGGACTGCACTAGGGGAGCGACCCCTTGGGAGAAAGCCGAGCGCTGGGCAGGGTCTCTGCCACTGGCTGGCCTGTCCCCAGGCGCCCTCAATGAACCCTGTGCCTGACCCAGGTCATCCGCCAGCTGGAGAACAACATCGAAAAGACGACGATCAAGATCACCACTTGCCAGAACATCCACCTGCTGTACCTGGGCCTGCTGGACTACCTGAAGAAAGTGAGCCCCTCTCCCCGCCCTGGCCTGGGGGTCGGGTCTTGGTGGGACAGGGCTGTCCCCAGACCTGCGCTCTCCTCCAGGCTGCCAACAAAACAGGGCTCTAAAGTACTTGGAAACATCTAAGAGCTTCATTTTTCAAGAATGCAATTGTGGAGTGTAGCAGAGCCATTTGGACTTTCTCAGACATAGGAAATGGCTTAGTGTGAGCCTGTGAGGGTCAGAGACCAGCCTGGCCCTCAGTTCCCCAATAAGGTACAGAGTTGACACCTCTGTACCTTGGAGGTCTGCTGGGCCTACAGCTTGCTGCTTGCCTTCCCATCCAGCTGCCCCACTCTAGCAGACAACAGATCCTGGCCCCTGATGGCTACAAATCCC